TATGGAGCAGACAGCAGGAACATTGTTTTACTACAGGACTATATTTTACAGGGCTGGGGGTTTGGCTCAGCCTGCCTCGCAAGTGCAATGGCCCGAGTTTGATCCCCAGTACCAAAAAAACAAACAGACAAAAATTATGTACAGAGGTGGACTATATGGACATTATCAGTACATTGCAGGGACCCATGCCATTCAGGTGGGAAGAGTTACACCTTGTGTAGCAGGTTGAACACCTTGATATACCATAGGCATGCCAGAGCATGGCCTCCAAACCTTATGAAGGTTTGCCAATTTACCACAAAAGAGTATATAATTCACAATTTTGCATACTCATGTATATTCTTGAGGAAGCTGAGATGGTAGTTTTTTTCCCTTTAAATTATTACATATATTTGTCATAGTTACTTTTCTCTCACTGAGACAAAATACCTGATGTCCAAATTAAAAGGGGAAAGGGTTTATTTAGCTCACTTTGTAAAGGCTTCAATCCATAATCGACTGGCTCCAAGGCAGAGTGGCACACACCAGAGGGGTGGCAGAGAGGAGAAACAGTTCATGGCACCCACATGGTAACAAAGCAACAAAAGAACCTTAACAGCATCTTTCTGCCCCTTTTATCTTATTCAGACTACTGGAATTAGGGTGGTGCCAAACCAATCAGTGTAATAGTTTAGTAATCACATGCCCTTAATCCCAGCACCATACACTGTAGATTGAGCCACCTCTGAAAAAGACATCTATGACCACAAGGCATTGAGGGGACATCTAGATCCACACCGTGACATTTATTGACATATAATTATATTTTATTAATTTTTAAATCTCTCAACTTGTATATTGCTTTTTAATCAATGACATTTGTGACTTTTATTCTTGTAACATCTTGGCAGAAATTTGCCTACTTTTTTTTTTGGTACTATAGATACATCCCAGGGCCTCACACATGCTAGGTAAGTAGTCAACCACTGAGCTACATCCCTAGCCCTTTTGTTTTGAGACGGGGTCTCGCTATGCACTATGGCCTTGAACTCACTATGCACTCCAGGCTTGTCTCAAACACATAGCAATCTTGCTTCAGCCCCCAGAGTGCTGTGATTATAGGGGTGCACCACCATGCCTGGCCCTAGCTCTTAAAATTCTCGTTACATTGCTCTGTTGCCCAGACTGGCCTTGAACTTGGAGCCGCCCTAGGTCAGCCTCCCAGAGATTGTAGATATAGACATGTGCCATCATACCTGGCTTCTTATTTTTAGGTCTTTAATATATTTGCCTAATTTAGGTCTTTTTGTTTTGTTTTGTTGAGACAAAGTCACTGTGTAGTTCAAGCTGACAAAATCATGGCAATCCTCCTGCCTCACCTTTTTTTTTTTTTGGTACTGGGATCGAACTTGGGATCTTGTGCTTGTGAGGCAAGTGATGGTACCACATGAGCTAAATTCCCAGCCCCTGCCATGCCTTCTTGAGTGCTGGGATTACAGGCATAAGCCACCACATTTGGCTTTGATAAACAAAGATACAATTAGATGTATTTATTCACTATTCAAAAAATATTTTATGTGCAACTACTTACCATGTACATTTAATGTACCATTTTTCTACACAATGGGATAAAGCTCTATTGTCATGGAATCTTGTAGTCCAATAAAAGGAGGCAGATGATAAATATTCCAGTGTACACACTAGTACAGTTGAATGTTATAAAAACGAGACAGTATTATGGTGGAAATTGGTTTAAATGTGAAACTATACTTGGTAGTTTTTGTTGTTTTTTTAAGACAGGGTCTTGCTATGTAGTTTAGGCTGACCTCGAACTCATGGCAATCCTTCTGCCTCTGTGTCTTAAGTGCTGGGAGGCACCATGCCCCACCACGTGGTAGTTGTTATTGGTGCCAGGGATCAAACTTGGGACGTTGCACTTGCAAGCAGGTGGCAGCACCATTGAGCTAAATCCCTGGCCCACCACTTGGTAGTTATGAAAGGTGCTTCTGAGAAGATAAATTTGAGTGGAATACCTAGTGTTCTGGGCAGAGAGCAATAATGGGTGAGGATTATCTTAATATATTTGAGAAACAGAAAGAAAACTGGAACACAAACTTTTTTGTGTGTGTGCTATTTTGCTTTTTTTTGTTGTTGTTCTGGAAATTGAACTTAAGGCCTTGTGCCTGCCTGGTAGGTGCTGTGTCACTGAGCTAACATTCCTAGCATGTGTAAAATTTTTCTTTCTTTTCTTTTTTTACTGGGGATTGAACTCAGGACCTTGTAAGGCAGGCAGCAGCAGCACCGGCACCACTGAGCTAAATCCCTGGCCCTGACATTTTTAACAAACATTAGTTGGGACTTTCATTTTTGTTTCTTCTCTCACATTCCTTTTTCCATTTTTTTGCTTTCCTGTGGATTAAACATTAGCTTTTACAATTTACTTTATTATACTGAAAAATATCTTTGAGTCAATATATTTTTTTCGTAGTTTTGTCATTTTGCTAGGTTTGTAATATACATACCTAACTCATCAGTTTACCACTGTAAGTACAGAAAGATTCCCTTAAGTCACTTTATGCTCCATGCTTTTACATCCAAGGATTTCTTCTTTACACATGGAAGAACCACATGCATGTTTTTTTACTTTTTGCTATATCATGCACTTAAAAATCTTGGGGACAGTCCCTTATTCTTACTTTTATTTTTGCCCAACCCACTTGTTTTTCTTTACCTTAGAAGTTACATCTCTGCATTGTCATTTCCTTTAGAGTTGGACAATTTTCACTCGTCAGTCCTTATGGGTAAGTCTGCTGGTGACAAATTTTGTTCTCGTTCTTCTGGGAATGCTTTTTGTTTCTTTTATAGGGAATGTTTTCTCTCTCTCTTTAAATTGAGTATAGTCACAACAAAACTTCTGATGAATTTCATAATCTAAGATTATTCTAATAGTTTACAGGGCCTCAGAGGAGTTAGAAAAAATTTGAAAAGTGTAAGTAGACATGTCATACAAAAAAGCTATACTGTAATTAAAACTGATGTTGGTAGAGGATATAGGCACAATACGATTTTTTTGAGTTGAATTATAATAGATGAGTTAAAATTAATAATGAAGTTATGGTGTGACAGCAGGCCATTTTTATTCATGGCAAATTAACATGGTCAAAGGTCCTGTGGTAAAGAAAGGAAGGTTTATTAGAGCAGGAAAATAATGTAAGAAAAGACTGAAATTGAGGTTATGCAGTCTTTTGGTTCATTTTTAAGAATTTTTAACTCAAGCCCTTAAGTTATGTTAACAGAATGCTATCATTTGAATTGCTTCCACAAACAGGCTATGTGTAAAGACAAGACTTGGGAAATGGATATAGTGAAGTTATGGCAAGATTCTTGGTTAGAAGTGATAGTTTGGACAATATTAGTAGTTTTGATTAAACACGCACATGTTACTCAACATGTCTCCAAAATAAATTTTTTCTTCTTTCCTAATTTTCTTGTTTTTCAACTTAATGAAACAGAATGGCAAGGTCCAGAATTTGATCCCGGGTACCAACAAAACAAAACAAAACTAAAGAAAAACACAAAATGATAAGCCAAGAGACCTGGCCAGCTCATCTGTGATATGAGTGCAAAATGAAGTCATGTGAGTGGATGACACAGTGGCATGAGACTTTAAAGAATGAACTTCTAAGGGCCGGGTGTGGTGTGCACGCCTGTAATCTCAGCATTCAGGAGGCTGAGGTAGGAGGACTGCTGTGAGTTCGAGACCAGCCTGGGATACATAGTGAGTTCCAGATCAGTCTCAACTACATAGTGAGACCCTGTCTCAATCTCCACCCCCAAAATGAATTTCTAGAAACACACCACCCAGGCAAGAAACCTAGCTTCTCCTTCTATCTACATCTAATTCATAACCCCAGTCCTTTAGATTCTTTCTTTAAATTGCTTCTTGAATCAGCTTAGACAACCCTATACCCGTTGTGCCAGTGTAGGTATCTCCAGTTTACACGCCCATCATCTCTGGGCTTCCAAGCTTAAACTTTCCTCCCTTAATTCATCCTTAAAAACAGTCGTCACCTTCCTCCTCAAAATTCTCGTGTCTTCCCACTTATTGTTCACTGAACAACATCCAAGTTTCTTTACAAAGTCCTCAAGTTTCATGTTTTTCCTCCCGGCGAGTGAATTTACCGATTTTCTTCCATGTTGTACAGCGCACTGTTTTTCTCTTTCGCTTCTTTTTCAGACACCGTACCCTCAACCTTGCCCAGTGTTCTTTGATTGAGGGCGTGGGCCCTCGGAGTATAACACTGGGTCCTTTTCTTCCCATCTTCTCCCCGCGCACTCAGCAACTCCGGGTCAGGGTGCTGTCCTGGCCCCCCAAGATCCCTCTCTGGGTGCCCGGGAAAGGAGGTCGCTGGGCTCTTCTTTCCCCCGCGCTCACCACGAGGCCTAGCAGAGCCTACCAGAGCCCGGGCAGTCTACGGCTGTGTTCTTAGGACTGCCCTCGGAACCCAGCAGATCGCCATGGCAGTCAACTACCCTAGACAGTCCAGGCTGCTACGCAACCCGCGGCAGCGTCCGAGCTGAGATCCTCGCGTCTTTCTCTCTCAGACCCTGAGGCACAGACCTCTGGTTCCCAAGGTCCAAAGGGCCAGAGGGCGTTGACCAGGCGCATAGTCTGCAGTCAATTCTGGGAATTGTAGTTCTTTGTGAGGTTTAGGCAGGCCGCGGGTGGTCCTGGGAAGAGTAGTTGTCTATGTCAGGAGGCCTTTTTCCTGCCTTTGTGCGGATAGCTATGGAGCACGCTGGGAGCTGTAGTAGGACGCAAACGCTCTTCTCCCCTGGCCGCATTGGTCTCTCGAAAAAGTAGTCTGGAGGATATCTCTGGTTGTGGGCGTGGCCGCGGGGCATCCTGGGAGTTGTGGAATGGCGGAAACTCTTCTCTTCCCTCTCCTGGGCGATCTCTAGGAACCTAATTGTGTAAATCTGGCCGACTTTGTTTCCGGTCGTTGTTGTCCTGTCCACAGGGCACACGGTGAGCTGTACGTAGTAGGGCCGAAACGGTCGACCCTCGACACCGTGGCCTGTGGGAAATGTAGCTGACCTGGCAGCGGTAGCATCGCTGAAGCTTGGAAAGGAGAAAGTACGCGACGCCTGGCTGAGTTTTTGGGTCGGAGTCGAGTGTGCAGGCTGCTACAGGGCCGTCCTTCCCGCGTCAGGAACTCGTGAGTGGCCGGGGTGCGCCTCCCTCCGAGATCGCCACTTCTGTGCCAGCCGACAGAGCACGGGTAGAACGCGCCTCCCAGCGGGCGCCAGAGGTCGGGCAGGACCAGAACCGGCCGCGCCAGGTTGGACGGGACTGCGTCCAGGTGCAGGCATTTGGCTCCAGCTCCCCTTTTCTGCTATGCCTCAGGTAAGCTGGTGCCGCACTTGTCAGCAGTGGGGATTGGGATCGCTTCTCTTTAGCTGCTGTCCCTTGCTCCGTGTGGCCCTTTCCGCCGTAATTCACTCTTTAGTGCGTCATGTTCTTACTGAGAGTCTTCCAGCACATGCGTCAGTGACTCATTCGCGCTGATCCCTGGAAGGCAGTACCAGCATCGCCTAAAATTTAGTAAAGATCATGCTTGGCCCCGTTCTATACCTTCAGAGTCGGAGGGAGCGCCGGGCAGCTTGCCCCTCCCGGTGTTCTAATCCGCGGCACATGGTATCTTGGGGACACAGCCGTGAATAAAACTCCTGAACTCACATAACCATTTTTGCAGATATGACTATGCGTTTCTTTAGCAAGGAACAGTGATGCTTTCATTTTGGTTGGGGCTAAATGCTGGTGATTTTTTTTTTTTTTTTTTTGGCTTTTTCGAGACAGGGTCTCACTATGTAGTGGAGACTGACCTGGAACTCACTATGTAGCCCAGGCTGGTCTCGAACTCCCAGCGATCCTCCTGCTTCAGCCTCCCGAGTGCTGGGATTACAGGCGTGTGCCACCACGCCCGGCTTTTAAATGCTGGTGATTGACCTTCACGGAGAGGCCTAACAGGTTCAACCATTCCAAATCACTTCTCATTTTTAGTCACTTACGTGGCCTACCTTTTGTCTTGTCTCCAAATCCCGAGGCTTCAGCATTTTGTTGTGGCACCCAATTTCTACCTCTGCTGCAGATCTGTTTCCTTGAGGAAACAGCCTATTTATTTATTTATGGTACCGGGAATCGAACTCAGGGCCTACCTGCCAGGTAGGCGCGGTGTCACTGACCTACATCCCCAGCCCAACCTCTTTATTAGTGAACAATCTTTTATTGCCTTTTAAACTTTAAAACTGTAAAATATAATTTTGCCATACTAGTTTTCCGGCATTGCTACTAGTTTGTGATATTTTTAATTCCTGTTTATGTGTTATAATTGTATCGACCATCAAGTCGTGCAAAACCAGGCTTAAAAGCAGGGTCCTATTCACCTAACACTGGAAGAGAGCTTTAGGTTCCATCTTGGGAAGTATTATATTTCCTTGTTGGGAGGTCTCTATTGCTTATCTTCCTTGTTCTGCGACATTGCTACAATTGCAGCTAAATTTTATAACCTTGATCGACTGATTGTGCATGTCTCATTTGAACGGTTCTGCTGCTATCTGCAGCAGCTAGCTATTGGCATGAAGAAATTCATAATAAAATGGGCTAATACTAAGGAGAACGTTTGCTTATTAAACACACCACTTGCGGAAGAGAAGGTTATAAGATTTTTGCAGCTAGAGTGAGAAAGAAATCCACATTCACATGTGTAGTCCTAAATCTTGGAACAAAATTGTAAATCATTTCATTGCAAATCATTTGGTTTTTTTTCTTCTCCTTTTTAATGAAACAAAAAAGTAAGGCTCTTAGTTTTATATTAGTGCTGGAAACTCATGGCTATATTCTCCACAGTGAGACTTATTCCTTGTTCAGAGACTTTGTGGGTATGGGTGCTGTTTGTGCACATATTTATGTGTCATTGCAGGGATCAGTGACATTCAGAGATGTGGCCATAGACTTCTCCCAGGAGGAGTGGAAATGGCTCCAGCCTGCTCAGAGAGATTTGTATAGATGTGTTATGTTGGAGAACTATGGCCATCTGTTCTCACTGGGTAAGTAGTTCTCCTTATCTCATTCAAGACATAATTTGATCTTTAGGATAGTTGTTGGAAATTTTGATTATCTGTCTCAACTGTCACAAGGGAGGTATGGTTTTTTTTTTTAAAAGTAAGTTTTAAATTGGGGGTTGTAACTTTAATGTCCAGGTATTGTTCATACTTCCATCTGACATTTATTTTATTTTATTTTTTTTGGTACCGGGGATTGAACTTGGGTCCTTGCACTTGCAAGGCAGGCCACCGAACTGCTGAGCTAAATCCCCGGCCCCCTGACATTTATTTTAATGGCCTCTCATTTCTTAGAATTTAAGGACTGATTTTGAATTTATTTCATTTTCTACAAGCAGGTCTTTCCATTTTTAAGCCAGATGTGGTTTCCTTATTGGAACAAGGGAAAGAGCCCTGGCTGGGGGAAGGAGACATGAGCAGAGATCTCTTTTCAGGTGAGTGAGTTAGAGGTTGGTAGGGGGAGTTTTTTTAAATTTTGATTTTTTGAGACAGGGCCTTTTTATGTTGCTGAGGGTGGCCATGAACTCACTATGTAGTTCATGCTGGCCTCAAACTCTAGGTGATCCTCTGGCCTCCCCAGTGCTGGGATTATAGGCATGCACCACCATGCCCAGCTTGTAGAGGAAATTTAAAAAAGAATAGCCCAACTAGTAAATGAGAAATGCTTTTCTATATTAAATGCTTTTTAGTATACCAGTTGGAAATTTTTCCCTTAAAGATAGGAGATATGTAGAAACTATGAAGTCTTGCTCATAGTTCCACAAGGGACCATGTCATACCCAGTTTTCCTACTTCTCCCCTACTTTTGCACAGATGGATAGTGGTATGTCCCCCTGCCCCCATGTTATCTCTTTTTTAAATTAATTATTCCTTTCTTCAGATTGGCATGTCTCTAGTACACGTTTATTTATGAATATTAATGGTGTGGTTCCATTTAATTATCTTAGATCAGTTCATTCTTTAGCTTTTTTTTTTTTTTTGAACTGAGGTCCTCACAACATATTCTAGGCCAGCACTTTACCACTGAGCTGCATCACTTGGCCCATTCTTGGGTAGTTGATGACCTATTCATCTATTCATACAGACTTCTAACACTAATGATATTTTAATCTTGTTAAGACTTAGTACAGAAACTAAGTGACATACTGTAGTCACAGTGTAATAAAAAAAATAAAGTGTGACAGGTATTAAGGAATTTATGACCTAGTGAGATAAAATATGTCTGTAACTTGAGTTAGAGATTAGCAGTTCTGCAATGAAAGAAAAATAATTTCTTTCAAGTTGGTATTTTGAGTTGATAATTTGGGTAGGATAGTAAAATCATAAAGGCAGGAAAATGGCCAGCTTTGGAAAAAAAAAAAAAGGCAAATTAGTTTGAGATATTCTTGGTATGAGTAGAGGATGGTGTTTCCAAGTGAAGGTGTCTGGTAATAGGCTGCTGGAACATAACTTCTCTGAAAGTCTTCACCTTTGGTTGATACTAGAATTGCTAGTGAGACAAATAAGGCTGTGCTCCACCCTTGAAGATTCTGACACAGATCTGTGGAGCTTAAATATATATATTTATGAAAAGTTCTGTTACTTTTATAGTTGATTCTGCAGCAAAGGTCTGATATTCAGAGATCTTTACAAAGTACTCCTGTTGAGAAAAAAGGAGGAATGTGTGCATTCAGTAAACAGTAGATTGTAAGGATGAGGGAACAGGCAACAGATGCTGTAAAAACTTGAGCTAAGGCCATAAGGCCATTAATGTTGTACACTACCAAAACTATTGTACACTGTCTTGGAGGCTGCAGAGAAGGAGTTGGGAAGAAGATACCTATGTGGCTAGAATCATAAGGCATAACAAGTACAGGGTGACTTCATTTAGTATATGTGCTGCCTAAGTGAGCACAGGGAGACTTCATTTAAATGTGAGATAAACAAGAAAAATGTTCTTTTCTAGATGTCTTGAACTTGGGGTGGGGAGGTCAAGTAGTCTTCCTACTTATGCTTCAGTTTCCTAAGTAGCTGGGACTATGGGTAAGACCACTGTACTCAGCTCTTCTAAATGTTTAAAAAAATGTAACAAAACCTATTAAACCACATATAAGGAAAGCAAGAAAAAAGGAGGACATAGAAACACTGTCTCAAATCCCACTACTTTAATATAGCTCTTGTCTTTTTAAAAGAAAACTCTTTACTGAACACATCATATAATGCATAGACAAATGTGTGGCCTAACAGATTTATTATCAGACAATAGCCATGTAACCAAGACAGTAAACAGAGCACTCACAGCCAGGTCCCCAAGCCATCTCTGTTTGTGCCAATCCCCAAACATAGGCAGGTTTCTGCTGTTATGTACAGTTGAATATCTCTTACCCAGAATGCTTAAGTCATTTTTGGATTTTGAAATATTTGCACAGACATTATTGGTTAAGTAATCCTAATTTGAAAATACAAAATCTGAAACTTTTTGACTGTCATCAGATTTTTTTTTTGGGTACCAGGGATCCAGCAAGAGACCCTGCACTTGTGAGGCAGGCGGCAGAACCACTGAGCTAAATCCCTGGGCCTGTCATCAGATTTTTAAATTAAGGATGGTCAATTGTAGTAACCTCCTTGGTTCTTCCTAGTTTCATTCATTAGTTGTTTACATATCTCTTCACTATAGTTTAGGTTTGCATGTCTGTGAGCTTTTTATTATGCCTGCTTTACTTCTCAAATTTAAAAAAGATTTAAGCATGTTGCACATTGTTCTAGTCATTTGTTCCATTGTGTGAGTATGTGTAGCACAGTTTTCCCAGTCTGATGTTGAGGGCTTCTTGGGTTCTCAATTTTAGAAATGTTACAAACAACATTGCTGTTTTATCTGTATCCTGGCATACTGGCACAGGTTTCTCTGTGGTATACACCTAGGACTGGAATTGTTGGGTTTAGAGGGTAAGGCACCTCCATAGATAATGACAAAATGTTTTCCAAAGTACTTTTCCTGACATGTATTTCCCTAAACAATAAAAGGTTTCCTGTTAGGAATCAAAATTTATGATGAGGCATCATGATCTTTACCTATCAGAAGGGTGTGCTGTGATAGCTTGTGTTTTTTGTTTATTTGTATGTTTGGGTTTTTTTTTTGTTTTTTTGAGGTAGGGTGATCCTCCTGCCTCATTTGGGATTCAGGCATATGCCACCATGCCCAGAGGTAGCTTTTGTTTTAAACTTGAATTTCTTTGATTCTTGGTTAGGTTGGGTACCTTTTTATACATTTATGAAATATTTAGCTGTCTTCATTTGTGAAGTACATTTTAAAGGTTTTTCTTCATTGATCTTTTGGGTTCTCACTCCAGAATCTTCTTTCAAGTTAGACATGTCTGTAATCTCAGCACTTGGGGAGGCTGAGGCAGGATGGTGGCAACTTTGAGCCCAGCCTGAAGAACTTAGTGAGATCCTATCTCAAAATAAAAAATTCAAAAAGGGTTTGAATGTAGCTCAGTGAGAGGGCCCTGGATTCAATCCTCAGTACTGAGAAAAATTTTTACTTTCATATGTGGCTTATTTTTTCCCACCTAATAACCTCTTTTGATGATCAGAAGTTTTTGATTATAGTTTAGCCATATTTACCAGTTTTTTTTCTTTATGGTTAGTACTTTTACAATTTTACCTATTTAAGAAATGTTTCCTAAGCTGGGTGTGGTGGTGCACCCCACCACTTGGGAGGCAGGAGAATCACTGTGAGTTCAAGGCCACCCTGAGCTACATAGTTCAAGGCCAGCCTGAATTGCATAGCAAGACCCTGTTAAAAAAACAAACAAGTGTTTCCTGATGAAGAAATCACAAAGACACTTTCTTATATTTTCTAGCAATCAACTTTGGTATCTCTGTATAGATCCAGTTATTTATGATGTCACTTATTGGCACATCTGTCCCATCCTCATTGTTTCAGTAGAAACTAAATGTTAATTTTTGTATTTGTGTGTGTGGGTCCTCTATTCTATTTTTCTATCTTTGCCCAAACCTATATAGCCTGAGGTATAGATTTAACAATGTGTCACATTTTACTGCATTTACTCCCCACTACTGTTAAGGCATATGTTTAGATGTCTCCCCAAAGCCTCATGCAGTGATAGATGGGGCTTTTTCAGAGGTGGCTGGATCTAGAGTGTGAGTCTGATTCATGATCCACTGCTAGGATTGAGGGTGCTAGGATTCAGGATGAGTGATTAGTCTGCTGATCAGTTTAGCACAGCCCTAATCCCAGTAGCCTGGATATAGTATAAGGGAGAGAATTAGAATAGGTTTGGAGATGCTAGGTGAGAAAGGAAAGCTGGAACACCTCAGGCTGTATTCGATGGGAGATTCTGAGCTCAGAAGATTAGATGGCTGATAGAAATCCTGCCAGTAAAGACCAGGCATGGAAGGTTTCTGCTGGGAAGAAGAACTGCATTGGCTATTGTTCTCTGGACAGTGTGTGTCATACTTTGGCAGGAAGTTTGTCTGCATTTTGTTCATGTCCAAGACTTTGACTGAGACTAAGATTAAGGGCAGCAGACTAATCTGGCAGAAGAAATTTCAAGGCATTCTAGTATTGAGGCAGTAGCATGGCTACTGTTGTGGGCTTTTAGTCATATTTTATGTTGAGAATCAAGTACAAAGAACCCAGCAGAAAGATTTAAAACATTGTGACTTTGGCCAGAAGTTCCACTTTTGCGGCCTGCAAAGATGGAAGAGGGGAGAAATTAGTCACTGAAAAGATTAGCAAGAAAAAGCCAATTATTTCAGAAGAAGACAACAAAAAAGGTGGCCTGAGGGCATCACAAGATCCAACAGGACTCCAGCCTTTGCAGCTTCACACTTTGCTTTGAGAAGAAGGACCCAGTGTACCATGTTCTAGAATGGTGGAGGCCTAGGGAAGTTGCTTCTTGGGATTTGGTTCATAGGCTCTGGACCGCTATAGCCAGGATATATAAGGAAGCTTGGCTATTGTTCCAGCTGGCGGTGAACCTTGGCATCATTCATGTGGTGCTTGTTTTAGGTGCATGCAGAATGCAAGAGTTGTGGGGTCAGGAAGGCTTCCACACAGATTTTAGAAGAAGGCTTAGGAGGTCACACAGTGTGCCCCTGAGAGGGTAATATGTGAAGGTGTAAGTGTGAAGCCAAAGGTGAACTGGAGACCCCTGAAGGTTGGGGAATCCAGGAAAGTGACTAATCTAAGGAGAGCTGCAAGGAGTCAGTAAAGCTAGCCAAAGAAATTAGCCATGGGAGCTACAACCACCAGAAGTGTCATAGGGAAGGAGCCACCTAACCCTTTGGGGTTTACATTTTGCCACAGATTGCCTCAGATGCTGGACGTGAAACTATAGGACTTCATGTTTGTCTTGCTGGGTTTTGGACTTGCTTTAGACCCATTTGATTGTATTCTATTTGTACTTTTTGGAATGGTAATGTCTACCAT